TTCCCTACATCCTCTGTCACTAGGTTACCGCCCTCATCCAGTAGGGGCCCCACACCCTCTCTGATCACCACCTTCTTGCTAAATGCCTGTAGAAACTGTTCTTGTTATCCTTCACATCCCTTGTGAGTTGCAATTCCAGTTGCACTTTCACCTTCCTGATAACTCCCCTGCATTCTCGAGCTATACATTTATACCCCTCCCTAGTCATCTGTCCAAGTTTCCACTTTTTGTAAGCTCCCTTTTTGTGCTTCAGTTCACCAAGGATTTCCCCTGTAAGCCAATCTGGTCTCCTACCATATTTGCTTCTCTTGCTACACATTGGAATGGTTTCTTTCTGAGCCTTCAGTAAGGATTCTTTAAAATACTGCCAGCTCTCCTGGGCTCCTTTCCCCTTCATGATAGCATCCCAGGGGATTCTACTCATCAGGTGTCTGAGGGAGTCGAAGTCTGCTTTTCTGAAGTTCAAGGTGTGTATTTTACTACTCTCTATTCTTCCTTTGGTCAGGATCCTTAAATGTACCATTTTGTGATCACTGCTTCCCAGGTTGTCACCCACCTCTACTTCCCCTATTTGCTCCTTCCTGTTTGCGAGCAGCAGGTCAAGCTGAGCACAGCCTCTGGTCGGATCCTGCAGCACTTGTACCAAGAAGTTATCTCTAACATTCTCCAGAAACTTCCTGGATTGTCTGTGTACTGCCGTATTGGTCTCCCAACAGATGTCAGGGTGATTAAAGTCCCCCATGAGAACCAGGGCCTGCAATCTGGAAACTTCTCTCAGTTGTCCAAAGAATGCCTCATCTACCTCATACACCTGATTCGGCGGCCTGTAGCAGACACCAACCACAACATCACTGCTGTTGCTTACACCTCTAAACTTGACCCATAGACTCTCAACAGGCTTTTCTCCCTCTATATACTGGAGTTCTGAGCAATCATAGTGCTCTTTTACATACAGTGCAACTCCTCCTCCTTTTCTCCCCTGCTTGTTCTTCCTGAACAGTTTATACCCTTCCTTGACAGCACCCCAGTCATGCGAGTCATCCCACCAAGTCTCTGGTATCCCAATCAAATTGTACTTCTTGGACTGGGCCAGGGCCTCCAACTCTTTTTTACCCAGGCTTCTCACATTGGTATACAAACACTTTAGATAGCCTGTTGATCACCCTATCCTCTGCATTTGAATCAGGAGTCCACCTTTGTTGATAGTTCCCCTTTGCATTTCTTTCCAGTATCCGACTTTCCCACTCCCCTCAGGGTTTTGGTTACCGTCCCCCCAACGAACGTAGTTTAAAGTCCTTCTCACAAGGTTTGCAAGCCAACCCGCAAAGATGCTCCCTCCTCTCTTTGTTAGGTGGATCCCATCTCTTCCTAACAATCCTTGTGCCCGGAACAGAGTCCCATGGTCGAAGAAACCAAAGCCCTCTCTGCGACACCACCTGCGCAACCACGCATTTACTCCCTCAATTCAACGATCCCTAGCCAGTCCAGAGGAGGATGGATGAGAACACCACTTGCACTCCGAATTCTTTGATCTTTCTTCCCAACTCTACGTAATCTGCAGTAACTCACTCAAGGTCATTCTTGGCCGTATTGTTAGTTCCCACATGGAGAAGAAGGAAGGGATAGCGATCTGAAGGTTTCATCAGTTTTGTAAGCCTCTCAGTAACATCCTGCATTCGAGCTCCCGGAAAGCAGCACGCCTCTTGAGATTCCAAGTCTGAGAGGCCATACCTCTATACAAGGGTGAATTTCACCCTGGCTGAATAAATTGAATCCAGAAAGGTAAATGAAGTTTATTTTCTCCCACTTACCCTACATTGCGGAATATACAGCATGCAGCCCATGTTCCCCAGAACAATATGTTCTCACAGCAACTAAGTACAAGGAGAATACGTAGACCTGGGTTGCTGCCAGTTGTGAGGCGACTCATGGAACATGTGATCCCTGTGGGATTACAGCTGCATGCAGGACTGGTGATTGATGTCAGAGCAAGATGCCTAGATGCCTCTTTCCTCATTTCACTCATTCACCTGATTGTTTTGCACAGCTCACTGTGTGTATTTATGGTGGAATGCCTCTTTGCAGGAAGGGTTCCTGCAAGGCTGGCTTTCCTTTCATCCTCTGACCAGAGGCTTTTACTAACATGATTGTCATGACGTTATATTATTGCTGCTACAATAACAGAACCATTTGTTGGTTGGACCTGCTGCTACTATCATTATCTCCCCTAATAAACCTCTACATGATAACAGGGTTTGTTTTGTTTTGTTTTGTGTTTTGTTTTGTTTTGTTTTGTTTGTAAGCCTTGGGTCAAAATTCAGTATAATAAGTTTGTTTTTAAAAATCCCTTTGCTGTGTAAGCTATGGGAATTCAGAAATGGGCCTTTAAAACAGCTTTTAAAAAGTATTTAAATAAAAGTCTGCAAATCACTGATTTCTAATATAGACTAGACTAGCATATTTAATTTTACAATATGTGATACTATGTGCAGAGTGGGCTAGGTGCAGGCAGCACAGCCTTACTTGTAAATTTCTAGACTTTCCAGAATATAGCCTGAACCTTAAGGGAGCAATTATGGCTCTTACCAACTTGATGGTGAAGTCTGGGGAAACAGTCATGATGCCTTTGGAGCAGTGTAAAGAACACTACTTGCTATATGCCTGCTCAACAGCTGTGAGTGCTCCCTGCAGCACTGCTATTTGGATGATCTATATACATGATGCAGGAAAGAGGCAAAGGCCCCAACCTGAAATCCCCCACTTATGCTGCCTTCCCTTATGCTTGTTAGTTCCCCGAGCCAGATTGTCGCTCCCCCAGGTTCTGGGAGAAGAAAGGCCTCTACCAGACCCAGCATAGTTTAATTCTGTAATGTGGTACAAATGTACTTTTTGTTATCCATTTTCATTTTACAGAACAGGTTCTGAATGAGTCTTAAACCTACCCCTGCCAAGGAAGTAGGGATGGCAGCATGCAGCTAACATGCTGTTGCAGCTACAGCTACGTGCAGTCTCTTTGCCCATTTTGCCAAGGATGGCTCCAGGGCCAATGATGTCCCTGAGCTCTGATTGTAGCTTGATAGTGGGATAAGGTGCCAAAGCCCTTGAGTTTTGAAGGCCTGAAGTGAGCTGTTTTTCAGAGGTGCTGAGCATCTGCTGCTCTCTCTGGAGACACTGGTTCAGCCTGGTGTACAGCATCACTGAAAATCAGGACTCAGGGATATGTGTACACTGTAATCAAACACCCGTGTCAGCTGCCTTGAGCTTGTGGGGCTCTAAAATTGCAGTGTAGATGTCTCTGCTCGGAGACCCCCACCGCTTATGGGGTCAAGGGGGTTGGGCTGGAGTCTGAGCCCAAACATCTACACTCCAATTTTATAGCTCTGCCAGCCTGAGTCAGCTGACACGGTTCAGCCCCTGGTAATTTATTGTAGTGTACACATACCCTGCAAGGAGATTGTATGGAGATTCTGGAGAAGGGGGGCTCTCTGGGAAGACTAGGAGGAATTCAGAGACACTGTACATATCTGAAGCATATCCTCCCTGAGGCTGCTGCAATCTACGTAAAAAATATGCACCAATTTAAATATATAATTTGTTTTATTTGTTAAACCCCTTGTGTGGACAGTCTTCCATTGGTTTATAGCTGGCTCTTATAGACTTTGCCTAAGTCAGAGACAGAATATTGTGTTGTCATTTAGTACCTGCTGTTTTTATCCAAAAGGTAGCATCTTGCCTTTTGTTAGGTAAAGACAGGCACAAAATATAAATTATCCACTCAATCATGACATCTTAAATTCTGTGTCATTGTTATTCAATGACCTTCAGCTCTGCTGCTTTGCGTGGTGCATCACGTGATCAATTTAGACTCACCTCGAGTGCAAATCTCATTCTTCCACAAATAGCCCTGACTCTTTATCAAGCATCCGAGAGCTGCAATAATGGCAAGAACAGACATTTACATGTACATTTCATGATCTCTGGATATTGTACTTTCTAAGCAGCAGGATAAATCCGCCCAATGACAGAGAATGAAACAATTGACCCAATTGTTAATTTCTATCAGTAAAACCTGTATAATATCAAACCATGTGACTGTCAGATGATTAGCTGTATAGTTGAAACAGACTTTTTCAGGAATCCACTTCTGTTCTTACCAGATTTTACTTATCACAGGAGTGGGGTAAGAGGAAAGTGGCTATAAGCTACTTTTCCATTCCCTTAATCCTGGAAAAAGGGCCTGTGGCTCTTTTGGCCTCTGGTATGGCTTAGTGAAGCCTCAAGATTGTTGCAAGTTGTGCTAGCACTAATCACCCCTTGGGGTCTATTTATCTGACAAAGAATTGCCAGAGGGTGAGGTACCCCATCCACACCTTCTAACAGTGGGGCTGGGAGCAATTAAGGAGTAGCGCTAGAGAGAGGGAGGAAGGTTGAGAGGGAAAGAAAGGGTGGGTTGCGAGGATTAAGCATGGTATCTCATTTGACTGCCTTCTTTTCAGGTCTGAGTAACAGTACAACAACTTCAGAATCCAAGAAGTCGGTTCAAGAATCCATTTCTAATGTTGATAGGCCATCTCAAATTCCGGGAACAAGAACCAGTCCAACAGGCAGCAGTGCTAACACTACAAGTAAGTGATGAGTCCCTGCACCATACAGTGGTCTGGAACAGAACCATTTCTCTGAAACAGCCCTGCTCACTGTGATATGCCAGTTACCATTTGCAGAACAATTAGCGATGTGTGAACTTCAAAAGATTCAGAGTTGGGGCCACTCAATGAAATTAAAGCCTTATAAATTATGCAATAAAATGGTAAGACATACTTCAGCCCCATAAAGTCATGCACTGGCATTCACTGCTGCAGGAGGTCGCTGAGGCAAATACTGTGGATGGAATTTAAAAGTGGAAACCAATTATAATTTTTACTATCACTAACAATTCTACAAACTGTGGTTCACAGTAAAGCTAAAAGGGCGTATCAAGTTAGGCCCCACAGGGATCAGTTATGGGTCTGGTTCTGTTCAATAACTTCATTAATATTTAGAGAATGGCAAAGGGAGTACACTTAAGTTTGCTGGTGATACTGAACTGGGAGGAGTTGCAAGTTCTTTGGAGAATAGGATTACAATTCAAAATGATCTGGACAAACTGGAGAAATGGTCTGAAGAAAATAGGATGAAATTCAATATGGACAAATACAAACTACTCCACTAAGACGGAACAATTAGTTGCATACATACAAAATGAGAAGTGGCTGCCTAGGATGGAGTATTGTGGAAAGGGACCTGAAGGTCAGAATAGATCACAACCTAACTATGAGTCAACAGTGTAACATCGATGCCAGGGGGAAAAAGGCAAACATCATTATGCATATTTTAGTAGGAGAATTGTAAGCAAGACATGAAAAGTAATTCATTTGCTCTACTCTATGCTGATTAGGCCTCAACTAGACTATTGTGTCCAGTTCTGGACACTGCACTTCAGGAAGGTCGAGAAAAAACTGGAGAAAGTCCAGATAAGAGCAACAACAATGGTTAAAGGTCTAAAAAACATGACCTATGAGAGAGAATTTAAAGAAATGGGTTTGTTTAGTCTGCAGAAGAGAAAACTGAGAAGGGACATAACAGGTTTTCAAGTACATAAAATGTTACAAGGAAAAGGAAGAAAAATTCTTTTCTAACTTCTGAGGTTAAGACAAGAAGCAATAAGCTTAAATTATAGCAAAGAAGGTTAGGTTGGACATTAAGAAGATCAAGGATGATCTAGATACTTAGTCCTGCTGTGAGTGCAGGAGATTGAATTAGATGATCTCTTGAAGTTTCTTCCAGTCCCACAATTCTATGATTTTGTGAAACAAACATAATGCTATAAGGGTAACCAAATGATGTTGTTCAGGGAATAAAATGAACATTTCTGAGGTCATGATGGCACTAATCTTCTATAACCCACAACTGTCTGGTGTGGAGGTTTCACCTTACTTTGAATCATAAGGTATTGAACAAGGCTGAAGGTAGATGACAGATTAGATGGACAGTGGTTTCTTATGGTCCAATGAGACCAATGTGGCTGTCTAGTTTACCTCTGCTGTCTGCTGAATAACCTCAGGATGCCTATTTGACTTTCTTTTAATGCCAACTGGTCTAAATTTTTCTATCATTTACACCCTGGCCAAATCCACCTATGATGATAGTTTTGCTTGCACGGAAATTAAGAGGAAAATTTGGCCCTGAAACTTTAAAACCGCAGGGAATCATGAGGAAAAAAATCATACAGCAGTCTATGATCAATCCAGACTGCTGTCTGTAGCAGCTGTCAGCACAGTTAAAAATCATTTCTCTTTGAGATGAGTAGACACTATTACCTAGCCTTATACACTTCCAGCAGAAAACGACTCTAACTCACACTATTCTTGGAGAATCTAGTCTAAGAATGAACCCCAGGCTCCACTGGCTACTAGAAACATAACAGCTGTTGTGAACTCCGGCTTAACATGGATGCATATGTTTCAGATCTCAGCAATCATTTTCTGGAGCCCTATAAAGTGTCACTTTTGAGAGAGATGCATTGCCTGATCATAGAACAAAGTTATGGGCCCATGGTAGCTCTTTGATGTACTAGATTAAATAGGATGAACTTCATTCACCACTGCATTATTCCTGTCTTATTCTAGTGTGACTCAACTATTGTCAGTAAAGTTACATGGGTATAAAACTGGAGTAAACACACAGTACTTCATCATGTCCAGTGATTCTCTATGATGAAATATTTACTTGGGCTCTAAATAAAATGCATAATCATCAACCTTCTAGCGAGAATGTTTTTGCTCATTTTTAAAGACCCCCTATCTAAAGTCCATTGAAATCTCTAGGATTCTTCACTGACTTCAGTGGATTTGTGGTCAGAGAGCACATTGCACATATCATGGTTGGAAATTTTTTTGATATACTGGTCTGCTTGGTAGTCTTTGGCAAATATGTCATGTCCCATATGTAATCTTCAGCTGTGATATAATGCAATGGGTATTTGATTTATTGGTTTTGGGGACTTTAGTCTTTAAGAGCCAATAAGCCTACTATAGCCACATATTTATGAGGGACAGAGCCAACAATAAGTTACAGAGGCTATCCCAAACAAATGCCAGTAAAATCTTTCTCCAACCCCACGTCATCACATACTCTGTATATGCTTTTGAGTTTTTTAGAAATGTGGTTGGTACTGGGTTTTTTTGTCTCTCTCCTCTGTAAAGTTACCATGAATCCAATTGTTCAGAGATTGAGGGTATCACAGAAACCATTAAATAGCTTTAACAGTCTTGTGAATTTACAGTTCATTAGCTTGGGCCCATCTAGTGTTAATAGAAATACTGTGTATTTCATTGAGAAGCTGTGTCTCTCCTTCAGGCCTTCATTCTCCATTAAGGCCCCGACTCTTTGGTTGGACTACATCTTCCATAATGTGCTGTCACAGTTCAAGTGAATGGGAGGTAACAGTGCATTGTGGGGAAGTAGTCCAGCCCAGGAGAATAATGCAGCTCAAGTGAACAAAAGATAATATTAAATTGATCCAAAAATGAAAGATTAAGATTTGGTCCGACCAACCAAAGTAGTTTGATTTAGCTTTATGCAACTTGAAAACAAAATATTTTTTGTTTTGATTTTTCCAAACAGGAAATGGAACAAACTTCTGCAAACTTGAAAATTTCCCATTGAAACTGTTTTTACAAAAATGACTTTTTCTTCATAATTCCCAGCTAACTCTATCAGAAAGCTTAGAGAGAGGGAGGAGCATCTAAGAGAGCAGGAAAGCACCTGAAATGAGTGGGGGAGCCTACCAAAGAACTTCAGGGAATTTCAGAGACCGATACTACTGTAATGCAGTGGTGAAAGTCGACAAACAGCTGCCAGCGAGGGAGGGGGAGCTCTGTGATAGTTCTGCTTACTCAAGCCAATAAAGGGAATTTATAGCCATTGAAAGCAAGCTGCAATCTTGCCCCTAGTCACCCAGACTCATCTTACTTTAACCTGTACCTCATAATATACATACTACTGGACAAATGGCTCATTCTGAGATGCCTCCAGCTGGGCAAATGAGCATGTAATGCTATTCTGCTATGTCTTAAGCAAACACGGGATATTTAAGGGGAGTAGATTAGAATCCAGTTGAATACAAGTAATAGCAGATAGTGTGACTTTTTTTTTTTAATTTTTATCAACAAACGATGCATGAAATGGTTCATGAAGGAATCATGGACTTGGTATGTTAAGGCAATATGAAGGTAGGTCCACCAAATAGGGTGATAGGAGTATTCTGATTTAGGCTATAGTCAAATGAACTGACCCCCTACTACAGCCACGGACATCTTCATTGTACAGGTCAGAGCCAAATCCCGCTCATTTAAATCACAAGAGTAATCTCCCTAAAACCAACAAGACACCTCATATGAATGAGGCCATAAAGGTTTGATCATCTTGATATACAAGCAAACAACTATATATGAACTCTTGGCCAGAGTCTTTATCTTAAAGTTACTGTGTTGGCTGCAGCTTTTGAGCAACAAAATGCATATGACAACTGAGAAGATTGGGACATATCCAATATGGCAGTTTTGGTTTACATAATTACTGGAGCTACACAGAAAAGTATGGTCAGTATTACTCTGATTTATACTGCAATAATCCCCTCTGAGAACTCTGCCGGGATTGTATTTTAAGCATTTGTTTTGCTTGTATATCAGTTTCATGTGACTGTCCTCTAAAAATTGAAGAAGTAAAATTACAGGGTATTGAGGCTATTTAGGCAGTGGACCTTTTGAGAATACAAAGGATGAAGGTTCGTTATTGGTCTCTTTCACCATCCGTCAATCTTCTAACCGTCTCTGCATTGATGGAGTCAGATATTTTCAAACCAAAGTGCAGTCAGCTGTGCCAAAGAATTGTTTTGCTCACCACCCAACAAGGATTTAGCACAGTCAGTGTTGCATACTTCACTTTTCAATGACAAATCTGGAAGTCTTCCCAGATTATTTATACAGAGCATCTGCCCCTCTAACTTACAGCCCCAAAAGAGGTTGACTAGGAACAGACAGAACAATGACAGTATCTGTTACTCTGTCTCTTTCTGTGGAACAGCTGTGCATGACTCTGCCCCCAAACACCTGTCTGCTGGTTGGATATTTACATAAGAACATAAGAATGGCCATACTGGGTCAGACCAAAGGTCCATCTAGCCCAGTATCCTGTCTGCTGACAGTGGCCAATTCCAGATGCCCCAGAGGGAGTGAACCAAACAGGTAATGATCAAGTGATCTCTCTCCTGCCATCCATCTCCGCCCTCTGACAAACAGAGGCTAGGGACACCATTCCTTACCCATCCTGGCTAATAGCCATTAATAGATTTACCTCCATGAATTTATCTAGTTCTCTTTTAAAACCTGTTATAGTCCTAACCTTCACAACCTCCTCAGGCAAGGAGTTCCACAGATCGTCTATGCAGTGTGTGAAGAAGAACTTCCTTTTATTTGTTTTAAACCTGCTGCCCATTAATTTCATTTGGTGGCCCCTAGTTCTTATATTATGGGAACAAGTAAATAACTTTTCCTTATTCACTTTCTCCACACCACTCATGATTTTA